TTTCCTTCATTGTAATATTGGAAATCATAACCGCGTCTAACCCCGAATTGTCTTCTGGGAGACAGATCTTTCAAAAGAAAAAACTTGAACCCCACCCCTAGGTTAGATTCTATCTAAAAACGAAAAATATAAGCTATACTTAAACATATTCTCATGTGTGGAAGGACAGCCGCCTGCTTACCACTTATGTAACAACATGACTGGTTAAGTTTTGTTCCGGTTTTTTTTTTTGTTCTTATTGTATTTCGTTAGATATGGTAAACTTGGCTTTGCTTCTCTGTGTTTTAGTTTTCCTTCTGATCTTTCCAATTCTGTCTTTTGAGCTGGAGCCCTGCGTCTATGTTGGATCTTTTTACTCGGCTGAAACTGTCACAGCCTGCGCGATCACATGCATCTTCATCGGGACTGCAGGATCGGAGTCCCAGTCCGGCCGCAAGATGTGCCAGGAGTAAACTGGCTGAGTAAATAGAAAATTGAACCAAATGCACACAGTAATTATTTCAGTAGGCTATTTTGCATTAATTCGACCGTGAATAATGCGACTGACAAAAGTCGACAAGCTCCCAAGAAAATAGGATTTGGTGCAGCGACCCGAAGGACCATTCTGGCTGTTACCAGTTAACTCCCGGAATGGACAACGACGAAGGCGGACGATTTAATACAATTTACTGGGGAAATGAAAGCGCTACTTTATATTTTGGGATTACACCGCTGAACTGATTTCATTGTTTTTCTAACTGGATTGTTTCGCGACAATTATGCAGCTCAATTTACACGAGCGATTTGATAGATGACAACTGTACTGGCTTGTCTTTTGGGCTCCGGACATGTGCGGCTAAATGCGGCGAGGCGTGGAGGTTAAACAGGAGCTTAAAAGTGGGTTAATGTAAAACAAGTCGTTTGAGTCGCTATGGAAGGAACGGTAACCGATTGTTGTTAATATCCGCGATCTGTCTACAAAAGTCGTTCTACTCTACTTTTCCCAACAATGCGGGATTGATGAACCGCTTTCCTATATCAATAGGACCCAGACTACTCGAACCAATGCCGATGTGCTTTGAGGGACTGATCCTCTCGTAGGGGGATACAAAGTGAGTTTGTAGCGTGGACACAAGCCCGTCCCCAGAAGAGTGAGGTACAGTAGCCGAATGCCGCTCCCCACCCTGCTGCGAAGCCGGTCGCTGTCCGTCGCGATAGTGGTGCTGAAATCTGGATGATGCCTGGCCAGCGAATACAAGACTGCCGTTCCTTACACATAAACGAGGACAACGGTCGCTTTCTGCTGCTCGCCATCCTGATCGTGCTGTACCTGCTGTGCGGTGCCGCAGTCTTCTCCGCCATCGAGAGACCCTCGGAGCTGCAAGCCCACGGCCGCTGGAATCGGACGCTCTTCAACTTCAGCGAGACGTTCAACATCAGCCTGGAGGATCTCAACTCCTTTCTGAGGGAATACGAAGCCGCGATCGCCGCCGGGATCCGGGCCGACACCATAAGACCGCGATGGGACTTTACTGGTGCATTCTACTTTGTTGGAACTGTCGTATCAACTATCGGTAAGGAGAAAAGTACTTTATTAAGCAACTATAACACCCCTCCCCCAGCCCCAAAGGGAAAATAACTTATTGTGATATTGATATTAGAGTCCAATTAGACGATTCCTTGTGTGTTAGATCAAAAATCCTTTTATCTACTCCAGAATGTGTTTTGTTTGGTGCTTATCGCGTCGTCCCTCTGTGCCTCGTTAGCGATACAGGTCCCCTGCCTGTGTGTCCTACCAAACTAGTGGAGTCAGCACAGACATACATCAATAAAGTGACCATGTGTCACAATGATGTCCTACTTTAGAAATCATAAAAATCAGCATAAAGCTTTTGCCTCTGCACAGCCTGGGCAAATAGTTTCTTTTTGTTCTGATACGCCTGCCATACTGTGATCCAAATGGTGTATATTAGTCATGCTTATATTTGGATAGAAGCTCTTTCTGCTTCCCAGAAGATATTGGATCGTACTGGAATTCCTCATGCTGCAGACAGATCTGATCACGGAAAGTCACGGCTTAGCCGGGATATCTGGGTGCATACGCCACTCAACAGCGCATTTCACGCTCACTATATTCTGAAGCAATATTAGCACCATTTATTCAATGTACTGATCGTTGAAAGGCAAATCTAATCTTTCATAGCTGTAAGATTTCTATCGCATGGCTTTTATGTTGAAAATTGTTGATCAATGAATTACGGGTCATCTCTTGTAAAGGCAGACTGAAGGCTCCCTGCACAACTTTTAACTGTTTAAATACAGGAAAATAAAAATATGTTAAAGCAGGAACAATACATCAGTATAATCTTGAATATTATCGGAGCTAATTCTTCATCAATGAACAATTCTTTGAAAAAAACAACACTCAAATTCACATCAGAGATACAATTAAAGCTTATAATATGTCTATAGATATAAATGTGTGTTTTCATCATGAATGTGCAGGTGAATGACAGTTGTGGCATAAATGAATGCTTGCAGGATTCATCATCTCTCCATTCCCACCAGTCCAGGCCACCAAGCAGCAACACTCATTAATCATTTGAGTTCCTGCATTTCTACTGCAGGTAAAATATTGTGTTTGTGGTGGGCCGTTTCGTTACCTGGTTGTATATAAGGTATAAAGTGCTGCAGTGGGGATTTAGGGTGGGGGAGGGGGTTCTGTCTGCATTCCTGCTGGACCTCACTGTGCTGTAGTGATATGACACACCCCAGAGGGGTTGGGAGGTGCACACAGACACCTATCTCGCAGTTTCCTGGTTAACACCTTGTTGGCAGAAGGCTGTGGCTGGACACCATGCATGCACACGGTTGTGGTTTAATCAGGGGAGCTGCAAGGGATTTTGGGCCCCATGAAAGCATCTCATATTGGGCCTCAAACCCAGGACAATCAAATTATGTTCCAAATTTCTCAGCCCCCTGTCACTCAGGGGGCCCTGTAATCATCCCAACTCCCCCCTTTTTACAGCACCCAGGTGTAAACAGTCTCTGCACCCCCCCCCCCTCCCCAAACCCCCACCTGGAGGTTATCGGTAAGAAGAGACTAGCAGAGAGCAGGTGGGAGATGGAGAAGTGTGTGCAGGCCATGCCACTGGGACTCCAGTACCTTGAAATCCACACAAAAAGAGATTCTTGGCTTTTATACATACGGGTGGTCAGAAGATCCTCCCAGGAGAGGCGTAGGCGGGCAGGCAGGATGCGATCTCTGTGTCGTGAAAGTGGAAGGTTCTTCTTTCACATTCGACCCTCGCAAGGCGAAACACCTGCTGAAAATGTTCTCCCTATTACTGATAGTGTGGTGGTTCAGCCCACAAAGCAGTTATCTTCATTTCTGCAGCCAGACATTCACCAGCGAGAGCCAAAACTGGATCCAACATGCATGTGCCTGTCAGACCACAGCTGGTATCCATTGTTAGCTCCCCTGGCTTGTATTTAGTTGCGTGCATCAGGATATTATTATTTTTTTGAAAACATTAGTTAGTGATGTCATTGCTGGTCTCTCTGCTCCTCACCCACCCCCATCATTCACGCTCATGCTTCTTATCGCCTGTTTACTTCGATTGTGTGCAGTTCACAGCTTACTAATGCAGCTTGCTAAGAGATCTAGCCTATAGGAGTGACCTCAGGTAACCTCCGGCCTTGTCTGGGCATCTTCCATTGCTACAGCCATAAGGAGCTGGAGAAAGTCATTCGAGATACCCTCATTTGTTCTAAACCTAGCGGGGCTTTCCATCAATAGCTGCTTAAACACTGCAAGCATGGCTGTAGCCATTAAATGAATGCACCTATATGCACCATTTGTGAAATATAATATTATAGTAAGTTCACATTTAAACAATACCATTGATTGTTAGCATAAGTTCCACATGACACGTTTGAGAGAAGTAAGTAAGTAACATTTGCCAATATTCAGCTTTACTGCTAAAGCTATCTCTACCTCAGAATGATTGATTCTGTATGAGGTATTCATTTATTTGGTGGGGGAAATGAAGTCCTGATGTGTAATAATTCTTTGTAACAGGCTGTACTGTGCCATTTGAAAATTAACCTTCTGCAGTCAAGCATGCAACAACTTCTTTCTGAATAAACAGTGATAGTTTGAGACCAGCATCACATCTCATTTTTTCTTTGGGAAAAAATATGTGGACACCTGCGTGAACTATACATCATTCCAAACCCGGGGGGTTTTAACATGAAGTTTGTCAGACCTTTGTTTGTATAATAGCGTTTAAACATAGATGTTGGAACATTGCTGGTGAGATTTACTGCCATTCAGGTTCAGTATTGATGTTGGGCAATCAAGTCCCTTTCTGTGAATCTGTGGGGTGAACTACTTTACAGCTGAACTTGCTCCCAGACCTTTTGACCTTCACCTGTGGCTGACCAGGGCAGCTCTAGCAGGGCAGAAATGTGGTAAACCGACTCGTTGGAAAGACGGCATCCTATGATGCTGCCAAGTGGAAAGTCACTAACCTCTGACATATAACCATCCATTCTGCTGTCAATATCTGTCGCAGGACACTGAATGTTCGTGTGCTTAATTATGCACCTGTGCCCGCAATGGATTTAGCTTAATTAGGAAATTCCTCTAATTAAGTGCCATATAGATTGGCCATGTAGTTTACATGGTGAACACCAGTCTATATCAAGGTTTCTGCAAGCTTTGTTGGCAGAACTAAATCAAATTTTAAATCTATCAACTTCCCATATCCTTACAGCAAAGATATGCACATTTGTGATGTAATACAGAGCAGAGCAGTAATAGAAAGGGCTATCATCAAAGTGCATATTAGAAAAATATGAATCACTAATGAAATATGGTTGGTGCCTATTTCAGCGACCACGTGAATCCCACTGTACAAAGGGGGCAGGTTTCCTTGATCTGTAGGGGCTCATCTATATCATCTCATGCCATCGAGCGATTCCCGCGCAGCAGACTCTCAAGGGTGTTGGCGGCGTCGGCGTGCCCGCCGTGGAAAGCGCTCGTCTCCGGACGGCAGCGTGGCAGGTACCCGCAGTTTGCTAAGCAGCCAGTGACGCCCACCACCGAGGGAACACAAAGCGAGGCCTGCTGTTGTTGGACACACAGGAACGTGTGACGAATGGTGGATAATCGGTGACAACAATCTCCTCCCCCCCCCCAAAAAAAACTAGCATTATTCTCTGAAACACTGGAAGATGAGGACGCGTGTCATTGACAGCAAGAGGGAAGCCAAAGTCTGCTAGCATGGGAGCAGCTGGGCGCTACGCCAGGCCAGCAGGGGGCAGCACCCAAACCCCTGTTTAGTCAGTAGCTGCAGGCGCTAGCAGGCTATTACACGCCCGTCCGACCCATCCAGTGTGACAGTCTGTGCAGAACCTCAGTCCTCACCCAAAGGATCAGTGTTATTTTATAGCTTGCTGGTTTTTGCTCTGTCTGGAGGCCCCACGTTGAAGGTAATAGCAGGTTTCTGCTAGTCTGCACAATAAGCGTAGCCACGATAGCCTTTCACTGGCACATGGCTTCCATTTCCTGGGTTTCCTGCCAATAAGGTTGGGATACTGCATGCAGGACCGGGGTGCTCATAAACTGGTTGAGCAGCTAGCCAGTGATTTGCTGTGTCAGCCGTACAGCAAACTGGTTTAAGCTTGAAACACTTCAGCTAGCCCAGCTTCATTCTCCCACCAGGCCAATGACCGGCTCTGCCTGAATGAAGGACAGCTGGTTAAGTTAGCCCGTGAGTGGCTTTAATCTTAAGACTTTACTCTCTCCCCAATTATACTGTACAATGAGTCTAGCTCTTTAATTAGACCAGGTCCCATTCTCTGACATGCACCGTCTCTGATCTTCCTCAGTACTGACTCTTCTGTGAGCTTACATACCTTTTTTGTGTGTCACACAGAGCACTGTGTTCTTTAATATAGATATGGGCTTGTCTGATAGCATCCTTTCAGCACAAACAGCTTTAACCCTTTTCTATCCATTCCCTTGTTTAATAAACCATCAGCTGTAATGGCAAAGGTTTAGGGAAACACGTCTGTCTGTTGACTGGTTTCATTGGTCACGTCTGGGGAGTCGTTGGACACGACCCTGCCACCCCCCACCCCCCCACCCCTCTTTGCATTTCCCCTCCTCAGATGTCCGAGTGGCAATGAAATGTCAGAGTTCAAAAACTAAATCGGCACGTTAACCGCATGAAAGTCTCGTCTGATATCACGAGGCTCGGCCGAGCGCGTGACCAGAGGGATCCTGGCGTGACCTTGCAAGGGAACGATAACGATAGAAACATGGCAGCTGAGCGTCATAGCCACCCCGTCGTCACTCGCCACCCCGTCGTCACTCGCCAAAACCTCCACACAGGGATGCAACATCGAGGGGAGCATTCCTTAACAAAACTGCTCACAGCTGTCATTCTCAGGAAGAACGCTGAATATATGCACATACAGGGTGCCTGCGGGGTATTAAAAAGTCTTTAACTCAAGTTGCGCCAATTAGGGCCTTGAAAAGTCTTAAATTTAAGTTTACTAAGTCTTA